CCTGCTTTTTCCCTGCCCACATGGGGTGACAGAGGGTCAAAACTATATATCCTGACTGCTGAGAAGATGGACAGAAGAAACAGCAGGAAAGCACAAGGAGAAGAAAGTCTCAGGGAGGCAGACAGCTGAGCTCTGCTTAGAAATGTCTGCAGAGCATATGCCCTGCACCACAACCGCTGCACCACTCCTGCCCTGCAGCCTTGGGGACCTCTGATGTAAAGATGAAAGCCAAAACAACTGAAATGCTGGGGGCAGACAGCAGGAGGAATGGAAACCTGGGGTGACTTGGGTTGGGAAGCAAATGGAGTCCCACCTCCTGCTCAGAGCAGGACCAGAGAGAGCTGGCTGTGAATGAGCAGCGTGGTGGGTGTGCCATTAAATTTCCACAAGGCTCCTTACACCCAAGTAGTGCTATTAAACCAAGAATAATATCCCTTTTTGTTCCGACAATAGTGTTGATAATGTTGAGAATGTCCCCATCTCTTTAGTACAAGCTCTATCGGCATTATGGGACTCTGATGTCAGATTATGTTTAGCAAACTTGCAGCATCATGGTCCAAAGGCCTCAATAGGGAAGCAAGAAATACGGTTAACCCTGCCAGCAAAGGGTTTCCCTGAAAATTATGCTGGTGCCCAACTGCAGTATTTGGGTTGTGCACAGATTTTGTAGGCTGAAACTTCAGCAGTGATTGCAGTTTGTCCAATTCCTTTTCCAGAGTGAGGGAGAAGCCACCTTTGCTTCCCATTCCCCTTCTTGGGGGGATCTGCAAGAAAAGAGGAAATGAGAAATAATCCTGAAAATCCCTTTCACTTTGAATATCCAGATTGCCCTTCTTCTGGAGCTATGATCCTCTATGACTATTGACTGTTTCTTTTCTGGCCATGTGAGTTCAGAGGAAATAAAGGTATGCTATTTGTTGTTTTGGCTTTTTTTACCCCAAGTGTCCCTAGTAGTTCAGGTTGGTGGACTAAATATCCAAAATAAGCTTGCCCTTAGGGGATTTTATGTTGCTGTGAAAAATCTATAACTTTGCATATACCTGATGGGATAAGGTGCATCTTAAAGTTCATATCTCACAAGTCAACTTTAAGACTATCAAAACTGGATTTTTAGGTTTTGCTGATCTTATTGGAGGGGATGTCTAGAGGCTGTATAGTCCCACCTCCTGCTCTCAACAGATCTAACTAGATCAGCTTGTCTTATCCAGGGAAAGTATGAGTATCTCCAGCATATTTGATTCAGGTATCTCAGTATCAGACATATCTCCATAAGATGCAGACATAAAACCAAACCCCAAATATACCCCCCCCCCCCCCCACTAAGCCATTTACATTAAATTCTCAACAGCTTGGGGGCAGGGTGTGGGGCGGTTGGTTGCTTTTCTGAGCAGTGATCTTTCTGAGAGCAGAGCTCAGCTCAGGGCTGGAAACAGTCACAACAAAACACTGTTTAAAAGTCTGCTGCAGTACAGATCAAACCAAGGAAACCTCATCCTGCCATCTGGAACCAGACCGAGAGGTGGAACAGCACCAAGTCTGTGGAGGTGATCAGAAACACCCAGCTACTACCAGCACGGTGCAGCAGGACAGAGCTGGAAACGACCTGTGATGGAGCATCCCTGGAATAGATGAAAATTGGCTCAGGATACAGCTCTGCCTGGAGCTGGGAAGACGGGCAGCGCCAGCAGGTACAGCAGCCCAGGCATCCCCAGGGGGAGGCAACTGAGCCTCTGGCTCTTCCAAGCTCTGCTCATTGCTAAATCACAGCACCTCTCTTCTCTCCCGCTCTTTATTTTCATTTGCTTCATGTTTACTCTGGCCTTGAACCACTTTGCTTTGCTCCAGGCATAAAATCAAGTGGCTTTCCTCTTGTTCTTTTCTTACCTGGCCTCAGATACAGCAAACTGAGTCCTCAAGGAAAATGCAACGCACTTTATATTGCCTCCCTCAATACTAAGAAAACCCCATCCACAAAAGACCCTTTTTCCACACAGCCAAATTTTACAGACTAGGAGCAAGCAGTCTCTTCCCCACCTCTAGGGAAGTTGAGGGGGTTTATTTATTTTAGCAGACTGTTCATTAACTATTAGCATAAAGAGGAATGGATGCATTTGGTTAGAGAAAGCTGGGGGTATAAAACTGCAGCTAACAGGTTAGTTCTGTACGTTCTTCTCAAAGTACGCGAAAACAGAGAAAACCACTGCAGAGGTGCAAGGAATCATCTCCTAACGTGGATGCTCGCACTGGTCTTTTGGACACATTCAGAAAATAATACACTTAAAAGCACTGTTTTGGGGTCTTCCTTTAAAGCAAGGTGAGCTTTTCCTTTGGTTTCAGTTTGTTCCTGATCAGGATCTTAAACACAGCGCTTGGACTGGTTTGACCCTAGATTTGCCTCGCACAACCCCGCTGCACCCACGCCGCAGCCAGAGCATGAGCTGGTGGCCCAATGATCTCACTTGGCTCCTGCTCACGCTAAAGTGTGAATTTCCTGTTGGTTGTGCTTTATGCATTTGGATTCTCTGCAGCCCAGCTCTTCACTCCCAGGCCTGGGAGGAACATTCAGGAAGAAAATGGATGTTAGGGAATGAGGTTCACACTCTCTGAGGGTTTCCTTTCCTCCATAGCAAGAAGGGAAGCTGCGGGCACAGGGTTGGGAGCTGCCCGCTGCTCCTGCGAGCTTCCCTGAGCAAATGTCTGCTCCCAGCTCCATCATGCATTTACCTTTATAGCTGCAGTAAAATGACAGCTACGAGATGTTGCTTTGCAGGAGGGAATAGCACAGGTCACATCCTCAGCTAATGCAAAATGGCATAATGAAATGCTGATTGATACCCGCCAGTAGCCCGGCTGGCTTGTTAGTTACGCAAATGCAGGTAAAATCCTTGTTAATCTAAAATCTCAAAGCCTTGGTGGCCCTTGATTCATGGAGGGAAGGTGCAGCCACAGCGTGCAGCTACAGGCGACCTCTCTCCTTCAACACCGAAGCTTTGAAGAGATTTAGATACTGATGGCAAGCGCCAACACAGTTCTTACAAATTAAAATGAAATGAAGGAAATTGTGCTCGGAAAACCAAAGGAAGGATATTCAAGTGCATACTGATCGTGCGGCTGTGCAAGCCTCAAGCTGGAACTTATATATTTCCAGACCTTCTAAAGTTGGCTGGGTTTCTTCAACACTGAATATTTCCAGGCCTCCCGTGAGACTCAGCCTCCCTATCTCAAGCCAGGATGTGTGCACAGCTCCTCTCTGCCAGGTAAATCGCTGCTACTAGGCAAGTGACCAGCTTTGAAGTCTATTTAAATCACCATTTAAACATGAATCTCTGCAGTTTCTTTTGAGAATAAACATAAACTGAGAAAGGACAACCAGTGTTAACTCCATGGAGCAACCATTTTGCCTCCGTGTTCACTTTTTCATGGGAAAGATCAGCATTTTGTGGTCAAGCTCATTATTTGCTTTCTATGAGACCAGGGTGTTTTAAGCCAAGGAATGAGCTCTGCTCCTCATTCATGTAATCAAAGGGCCGAGTATTCCTACTGATATTTAATACATTTCATCTCCATCTTTTAATGCATACATTGAAGTATACTGTGTCTTTTAAAAAAATCTCAGCTTTGACTGTTAATTTCGCTTCCTACATACAGTCTCATTTACTGTTATCTATTTTTATTCTCACTGGGGATTAGGTAAGCAACGAGCAGTATTTCCAGCTGTCCTTTTTGCATCACTGTTTGAAAACTGTGTAGACCACAAAGAACATAATTACAAAAACAAATTGCTAGTACAACTGCTCTGTTAATAAGTAGGGACCTGTTGTAAGTTCTGAAACTTAGAAAGACCATTTCAGACTTCTGTTTTCATTAAACTGTGGTTGCAGAGAGCAGATATAATTGCATTTCTTTTCTTTTTAAAGGCTACAGGTTACCTGAAGTAATTTGTATATTACTTTTTTTTCTCTGTAAGTCCAGATCAGTTCTCTCAATGGAAAACATTACATCGTAGGGGTCATTCCACAAGTGTTTTGCATTAGTGCAAAAATTGCATTCATGTACTAAGATGTTTAAGCACCTACAAAGTTGTCGCCAACCATCTGCACTGCTGGTAGCACTAAATCAGCCGGGTACATACGCAAAGCCAATGTAATTTATCTGTCAGGCAGTATTTCATTTAAAACATATTCCTGTAAAATATGAAATACTTAGAGGCACCCACTTTCCTATTTGAGTTTGACGTTTTCCATTACTGCTTGAGCAAAATTGTCTTTTTAATGGAGCAAGAAAATCTTTGTGCACCGGGGCTCTAGCATTAGGAAAGGGGTTTCAGTTAGCATTATGTTAAGAGGCAATTATCAGTGTAGGAAAAATGAGGGCTCCTACATGCATGTGTGTGTGTCTGGGGGGCTGCTGCCTTGTTCTGAAGCACTGGGATGATGCTGGACTGGGTGAGACTTTCTCCAGCATCTCTGATGCAAACCACCCACACATGATCCAAAGCCAAATACTTTGAAGCCAAGGTGCTGTTTCATAGCACTACAGAGAAAGGCAGGTGAGCTTTGTGAAGCTTGAGTTTAATCTTTGACTCGGATTTATGTGAGGAACCCTTTTAAGTCTGGAAATACCTGATACTCTCTTTTACCATTCCCCATGATCTGAGAGACTTATGCTCCACGTAGGCTGTGGCACCGACACATGTATTTTTACAGTTCATGATACAAATTGCTTATGCAGAAAACCTGAGCTGGAAGTGGATGGAGAAATAATCTCATTTTGTCCTACTCTTCACATGCTGCAAGGTGCGGTGTTAATAAAACACTTTCAATAAACAAACTAACCAGCCGTAAGTTGCTGCTTTTAATAGGAGACACAAAGTCTCTGTATGATTTTTCCAGATTCTGCACCTGATTAATGACATACCATTTTGGAATTTATGTCCAAGGAAAGTGCAGGGTGTACTTCCTCCACAAACAGAAACAATATGTGCAGGCTCCTTCTCTTACCTGTACCATATGCCCAAGAGAGAAGGAGGAGAAGCAGCAGTGAAACCTCTTGACTGCATGGGGTACATGTCTGAGGAAAAGGCAGGGTGGCCAAGATCTGAGGACAGAGGATTTATTTAGGTTTATTTATTCAGGTTTTGCCCTCCCACGTCTGAACCAAAAGTTGTGGTCTGCAGACTGCTGGGACGGGAGCACTCAGATTGAAGCTATTCCACTAAGATAAGTTGATTGTATGCGAGATGTATAAAAGATGCACAAATAATACAAGTACTTGTGAAATGGAATACCTGCTCACAGCAGAGAACTAAAGTCATCAAACACGCTGTAATTTTATACATCAAATAATTTCTAATTGTATCAGAAGGCAGGTTAAATTCAGCATCAGGTATTTAAAGAAATACAGCTACAGTCAGGATACTGGTAATCTCACAACAGTATTCTTACAGTGATAAAGCAACGTTCGCCTCTGCTCTGTGCCTGATAACATAATTGTACATAAATTAGCATGTACAGTGTTTTGAAAGTGAAAATTGATTCCTTGACACAGTGATAGAAAACTCGCTCTGTAGTTATATCGAGCCAAGATACTAAATTTTAATAACATTCAATTTTAAAACAAAACCAAAACAAGGCTCCATGTTTAAAATGCTCTTATGCATCAATAGCAGTTAACGGGAGTGAAGAATGCCTAACTTTAACCTATGTAGTTTCCTCCCAGAAAATCTCAAGTCCCATCTCCACCTCTGATGCCCATTTCCAGCTGTGACTAAAAACTGTGATCTTGCTATTTATGCCTGGCCAAAAGAAGTGGAGTAAAACTGCACTACATCATGCCACATAGCTTCTTGCAAAGCTAGCTATGGTGGAGATGAAGAAATGTGTTTGGAACTTCTGAGGACAACTAATAAACACAGAATCATAGAATCCCAGCCTGGTTTGTGTTAGAAGGGACCTTAAAGCTCATCCAGCTCCAACCCTGGCCACAGGCAGGGACCCCTTCCACTAGAGCAGCTTGCTCCAAGCCCCTGTGTCCAACCTGGCCTTGAGCACTGCCAGGGATGGGGCAGCCACAGCTTCTCTGGGCACCCTGTGCCAGAGGCTCAGCACCCTCACAGGGGAGAAATTCCCCTTATATCTAATATAAATCTCCCCTCTGCTTTGAATGCTTTAGAATGTGTTCATTTTCTGATGTGCTCATTGTATTTGGCCATGAACCAAGGACACAAGTACCAGACCACCCAGGGTCAGACCCAGCACATAGCAGAGGACATCTTGAAGCAATACAGCCATCAGATACAAGCATCAGATACAAGCATCTCACACTTAACCATACCTTAGGCAAAGGGTCTTTCTTTCCAGTCTAACACAGAAACAGCAACCTGAACTTGATCCAACCAGACCCTGGTGTAGACACTTGGGTCCACAGACCTATTGTTCTGATGCATCCTTTAGATCCCTGGCTCTAAGCTTTTACCTGCCCCATTTCTCCCACCACAACAGAAAGATTCCCATGGGAAAGATTGAAAACTGCCTGGCAGAGGGAGTTATTCAGGAGGATGTGGCCTACCTGCAATGGGGCAGAAGGTGGAATATGATCTGCAAAGGTTTATGTAAAAACTCCATGGGTAAAAGGGAGGGTAAAACCAATTGCTTGCTTACACTGTTGGCCCATCTTTTAAATCAGGTTTTAATTGCATGAAAAGCCACCCTCATCCCTTTTGATTACATCCTCCTATCACCCTCAGAACTGCAGCATCTGAACATCTTATTAATAAAAGCTATTTTGGAAAATAAAACTCCTTCAGAATACATGAGGATTAACACTATATATAGACCACGATGGCTTAAAAGAGATTGTTATGGTCTATTGTGCAAATACATATTTACTAGAGCTTTTGAAATACAGATCATGCAAATATGTATTCAGGGACTTTTAAAAATGCAGATTATTGACCTGACAGATCATAAAGGCTCCTTTGAAACCATTCTGGGTTACAGTATCATGTAAATACTTATTTAGGCAATTTTTTAAATTCTTCCCTAGTACAGTCAGCGAAAATCCTCATGAAAACAAATGTTTTTCTCACCTGACAGCAGTGTTGAAAACTAAATACCTCCTTCCCCTGCCTTTACAGAACCCAACTCCATTCTGCCTGGGGATGCCAAAGCTGTATTCTGTGGGGTGTAACATCACCTGTCAGTGGGGTGTTTGCCGTCCCAAGGCTGCTGAATAAATCCTTATTGGTTTACAATCACCTGGAGAACCTGTGTGTGGACATGCATCTCCTTGCCCCCACCTGCTGGGGTGGATGATGGATGCATGATGTCCTGGGACAGACCTGGGCAAGCCCAGAGAGCACCCCTGTGGTTCTTGGCTTGCCTGGGTATACCACATCCTAGTGATGGGATAGGGTGATCCCAGCTCTCAGGGCAGAGGAAATACTGGTTTGAATGAGAGCTAACATCTGAGTTATCTGGGTCTGAAACAGAGTTGGGATTGAGGCAGTGGGAGCTGCACTGAGAGTCCAGTCCTCTAAAGGAGCTTTAGTATGTGCTACAGCTCACATTTTAAGTGTTTAGGCGCTGTCTCTGAGTTAGGAAGAGGGCCAGCAGTGTCTTGGCAAGCTCTTTCAGCTCCCCTTGAGTAATAAATAACCTTCTGTCCTCAGTAGAAGACCACGTGTGCTGTTTCCAGAGGTCACGACGGGGTGTGACAGCAGCAAAGGATGGGAGACTCTGCTCTCCAACACTTTTCCCACTCTCATGGTTAGAGCAGTGCCTTGAATCTGCCTGTGAATTGCAGGATGAGGTGGGAACATACGCTGCATCCATAAACCCAGGCGCCGAAGAGCAGACTGACTGGGAAGCCTATCCAGAAAGCATCGCCTGTGACCAGGAGAGGGTAATAATAGGGGATAGTGATTAAATATTTCATAACCAAAAAGAGAAAAATGAGTATTCATCTTGCATGGGCTACGTACAAGCAGTCAGGTAGGCGCAACTTCCAGCTGGTTGGTTTGGGGATGAAAAAAGTATTTCCCATTAGCAATTTCCTGAACTAGCAGATAGTCTCAGTTTTACACAGATCTCTCATTATTCAACATTCCATCAATAGTATAATGGCATTTGTTAATTCTTATTTGTGTGTATGATTAAGAAAAAACAACAACTTTTTATGTATGCGGCCCAGTAGTGCAGTGGTTGTTATGCTTTGTTATGTGTTATAATAACACAGTCTTCCAAGAATTTGTGCATGTGTGTTAAACTGATTGTGCCAGGTGATTGTAATATTCCTGGAGCACAGACACTGCCTTGATGAATAGTGGTGTAAATGCTCCAGCAATTTTGCACATAAATGTGTCAGCTCTGGTCTACATAATGGAGAGAGGTCCTTTCATGGACTGGATAAAAGCGGGTTTATGAATCATGGAAAAACATGCTTCCCATAGAAAAAAAAGCATGTTATGTGAATTTTCTTCAGAAAGTCCTCAAAAAACAACCCAACAAAACCTCACCTGGAATCTGGCCAGAGCATTTTAGTGCTCTTTTGTCATTCTGATGGTTGAGGAGAGCTGTTCATGGTGATTAACAAGGGTGTGCGGGTTTGGGCTTTTTAAAGGTACAACTACAAACAAAAGGTAGTAAATTTAATTTTCATTAGGGCAGAACGTAAGTTCTCTTACTACGAGCAGGAATACACATTAACAAAAACTCCTTGTTATTTTCTCTCTGCAGATCTGGCTTCTATTTGCCTCGGCTGTAGGAAGGTTTGAGTTAACATTCACGATTCAGCAAGGCACTGTAAAATCCCCCGCAAGAAAATTTACTGTAGGTATATAGTAAATCACACAAGGGGTATGCACGCTCATTTACAAAACACAGACTCATTCCATTGTATGAGCAACTATTAAGGGGTGCACCTCGCACGCGCCCCATTTTTAATGCCGTTTGCTGGCATTTGGACAATTTAAGACAATAAAAATATCCCACATTGTTATAAACAGAGCCACGGAGGAAACCCAAACTTTGGGCATAATTTGCACAACTGGTTTCAATGATAAAATATTTTTGTGGAGTTCTGAAATCAATTTCTGCCAATTTTCTGCTCAGGTGATTCCCACCTCTGGGAGAGATCCATTATTGCTGATGGCAGAGCTACGTTAGACCACAGCCACAGACTCAGTGCTAGCAAGAAACCCACACAAAAGCTCTAGAAAGCACTCAGGCTTTCTCAGCTAGACCTGTGCTAGTCAGCCCTTTCCACCTGAAAAATAGTCCTACATCCACTGGGAACTTTAAAGCAGTTATAAATGGTTAATCCTCTGAACACAGCAAACTTTGCTGTGCAGCCACCTCCATGTTGCACTTGGGCTAAATAAAACATCAAACTCCATACACCTTTTGTGCAAGGGTGCTGCAAACCTGAACTGGAGCATCTAGGTTAAATTAGGTCCTATTTAATTTTACGTATTAGGTAAGGGAAAAGCATCAGTCTTGCTAGTTTTGATGACAAACTCCTATCCCAGGGGGATCTTTCCTGAAAAGGTGCACAAGAGTCAAACACCACACTGCCCTTTGGGTTTGGTCACTTGCTGTGATGCACCTTTTGTCTTTTTACTGCTGTATTAAGAAGGGAGAAATGATTTTGCTGATTGATGGCCTCACCTCTATACAGAAAAGAATTTTAGGAACCAAACCACAAAAAGGCAGTAAACCCTGTCTGTTTTGTCACTTATTTGTGTGGCAATGGGAAGCAGAGTAAGGAAGAAGCCCCTTTCGGCAGTGAAGGACACTCATGTCTGTGTCCCAGTGCAGGGTTCATGCCATGGGTACACTTTACTGAGCCCTACATGCCCAATCTGATCCAACATGCAGCATGGAGTGGGGCAAAACACAAATGATCTAATTAGCCTAATCACAAAGCCATCTTCAGTCACCATCCACTGAGCAAACCCACCCCAGCAGCTTGAATTAGGGGACTCGGGGAAAACTGATACTGCTGCAGGGCCATAAACAGAGGAGTGCACCTGAAGTAGCCATGAACCCCCGGGGAGTGCTGGGGGAAGTGAGAAGCTGGTTACTGCAAAGACAAGTGAC